ACCTAGGGACGACAGTGGCAGGAAGGGGGGCAGAGAAAAAGCACTGTCTGCCCTCCCCTAGGGATGCTCCTTGAAATCGCATGGCCTCTTGCTTTCCTCCCATGGGCCTGAAATTAGTCACCTGGCCAAACCTGGCTGGTGGGGAGGCTGGGAAATGGAATCTTTACATGTGCCTAGTTAAAACTTGTTCTCTGGGCCGGGGATTTAGCTCAGTGGTGCCGCTGCCTGCCTCACAAGCGCAAGGTCTGGAGTTTGATCCCTGGTACCAAAAATAAATAAAATAAAACTTGTTCTGATACTGAGAAATAAAAGAATGGATATTTGGAGGCAGTCATATGCCACTGTATTCCCAGCTTCCAGCTCACTACCAGGGACACTGTGCCTTGACTGCATGAAGAAAGGAGCTGAACGTGTATATATTAGTTTGCTAGAGCTGCTATAATCGAGTGCCACAAATGGCACTTTGTTGTACCCAGGAGAACAGAAATGTGTTGTCTCACAGTTCTGGAGGCCAGAAGTCCCACATTAGGATATCATCACCATGGTTTCTTCTGAATGCAGCAGAAGACATGCTCCATGCTCCCCTCCTAGCTTGTGGAGCTTTGTGGGCATGTTTTGGCATTCCTTAGGGTATAGGTCTCTCCCTTTGTCTTTACAGGATATTGCCCTTGTGTGCATGTCTGTGTCCAGATTTCCTACTTTTAATAAAAGGGACACCAGCAGCCAGGGATTTAGCTCAGTGGCACTGTGCCTGCTAAGTGCATGGTCCTCAGTTTGATTCCCAGTACTGAAAAAAAAAAATACATAAAGGGATACCACCCTCATGCCCACACCTTAACTAATTATATCTGCTCGACCTATTTCCAAGTAAGGTCACATTCAGAGATACTAGAGATTTAAAAGTCATAGGAATTAAAATTTTGTAGTGGGGGTACCATGCAGCATTCAATATAATTCGACACAATAAAAATTCATAGGGTTGGGCCGGGGATTTAGCTCAGTGGTGCCGCCACCTGCCTCACACAAGCGCAAGGTCGGGAGTTCGATCCCCGGTACCAAAAAAACCACCAAAAAACAGGGTTCATGAATTTGGGGGTGGGGCCACAATTCACGTCACAGCTCGGTACTGCATCGTCTGCTCTCACACAGCCCCTCCCAGACACCTGGCATCTGCTGTGCTGCCCCTGCCAGTGTGGCACTCATCCTCAGATTGGCCCATCTGTTTCCCCAGCCCAGAGGACTAGTATGTTCCGTGGGGAAGGCCAGGGCTTAGCAGAGACCTCTCATGTTACAGAGCTGAAATCAGTGAGTCAACTTCATTTTGACAGACTCAGGAGCAACCCAGAAAGGCAGTGGGCTCCCTGTGTTCAGAGCTTTTTATAGCATGACGACATCCCCTGCCCTTGGTAACAGCCTGTAGCCCCCCTGGAGTCACACTGTGCAGCACAGTCCTTATCCTCCAGGGCTGGCTGGGAATCTCCAAGCCAGGCGTCTAGCCCAGCCCATGCCCCTCAGTCCCACACACTGTTTATTCTTAAAGCTTTGTGCTTTTTGTTTGGTTCTGCCTTGTTCTTCCCTGGGCAGTAAAACTCCTGGTGAGGTCCAAATATGATTTTATCTCTGTAATCGCCACAGCTCCTGTTGGTTAAAGTTGCCCCCAGTAGAAAGCAATCAAAGAGCACTTTTTCAAAGGGAAGAGGGTGACATCATCCGCTAGGAAGCTCAAGCTGGAATCCTGCTCCAAAGCGGAGGAGTGGGAACAACAAAAGATTTCCTCCAGTTTCCCTTGGCTTCAAGTTCTGGGACTCTGAGAAGGGGGCAATTCTATTCTTCCCTGGCATTCAGTGTTGATGGTACTTAATTCAGCAGTGGGAAACTCAGACTTGCCAAAGCACCTCCCTGACAAGGTTAAGGCTTGTGATTGGTGCGTTGGATCGTGAGAGGCGGGGTGTGCTGGCGTGGGGCTCTTTCCCATACACATCACACATGACAAGACCAAGGCCCTGGATTGCACTCAGTGATCCCTGGTACTGAAGGGAGCAGAAATCTCAACTTCAGGCAGGACACAGTGCGAGTGTCCTTGTTTTGAGCACCCTCCCATCGGACTAGGCCTGGAATGGTAGCCCCCCCTCCCCAGCCATCTGCCCACTTATGCTGTCCCCAGGCAGGGCCGCAGCAGGGATTCTGGCTGTCACAAGGCCCTTGAGTGACCAGTCTTACTTGAAGAGTCGCAGCTTTGCCACAGCATTCCTGTGGCCTTTGGAATATGTACTTGGGCCTGTGTCTGCTTCCCTAATGTTTCCTCTTAAAGACGGCACCTGTCACGTGTGGCAGACATTTCTTTTCCTGTCTCGATGCTTGTAATCCGGATGGCGAAGCGCAGGCCAGGCAGTTGCTGAATGGCACGGGGAACACGTTTAGTGATTCATCAGGCTTCTCACCTGGGTTTCCCAGGGGACTTGTGACTTGGAAGCTCAGGACCAAAAAAGCCACATTAGGCTTGGGGAGAGAGGCGAGGCTCAGTGTTTCCAATCCTTCTGCAGATAGCTTCAGAGGTGTGGGGTCTGTGTGCATTGTCTTCAGCCCAGCTCCCCATCTCACTGCAGAGATGGACTCCTATAGGGGCCAGGGATTTAGCTCAGTGGTTCTGTCGCCTGCCTCGCAAGCGCAAGGATCCGAGTTTGATCCCCAGGACCAAAAAAAAAAAAACAAAAACAAACCCAAAAGTTGGGCCAGGGATTTAGCTCAGTGGTTTTGTCGCCTGCTGTATAAGCGCAAGGACCTGAGTTCAATCCCCGGTACCAAAAAATAAAATAAAATAAAATAAAAAGAGTAGAGATGGACCCCTATGGCCAGAGGTTGCACAGACAGTGCCTGTCAAGATGCCCGTGGGTTCACATTTCTTCAGTGCAAATGCCAAGTTGACACTAACAGAAAGCTGTGTCCCAGACGTGACCTCTGTCTGATGTATGCTCCAGTCTGAAACATTACCGCTTTCATCTCTGCCACGAGTTGTAAAATTAGGTTATTCAGCCTTTGATGATCAGACTTGTGCTTGAAGTAATCAAGAACAGCAGCCCTAATTACATCACTGCCACTGGCCAGAGCAAATGGGTGGGGGTGCTTGTTCTGAGACCCCAGGAGGGTTTGCAGTTGGGTGCTGACCCGCCAGATCCCCCGGGCCCATTTAGGACAGCTGCAGCTTGTACCAGGACCTTACCTCGTGTGGATCTCTGTTCTAACTTTGACTTTATCTTATTTTTATTCTTTTTTTTCTTTACCCAGTTTCCATATTCTCTTATTTTCATATTAAATATGTCTTTTCATGTTTTACAAGCACTCATTCACTGTAGAAAAATTAGAAAATGTAGGTGAGCAAAAAAAATTTTTTTTTAATTTAACATGCCACCACCTGGAGAAAAGTACTGTCTGAACACATTCTGTGATAATTCATTCCAAGTTTTTTTATGCATGTATTTTTAAACTTGCATTTTTCACTTACTATATTTGAGAAGAGCGTTTGTGCTTATAAAAATTTATCAACATTAGATGGCTGGACAAAAAAAAAATCCATTTATTTAACCAGGCACATGTCATTGGCCATTTAGCTGGTTTCCAACTTTTCACTTTTAGAAATAATGTTACAGTGAAGGCCTTCATATTTGTACATGTTCTCAGTTACACACATTCTCAGTTGTTTCTTATAGTAAATGCCTAAGGAGTGAGATTAGGTCAAAATAATCAGTATTATTTTAAACTTTGTATTGTGAAACCTTTTAAAATATATACAATTTAGACAGACTGGTACGTTGAATCCTCATGTACCTGCTTAATAATGATCAACTCCTGGCCATATTTTTTTTTTCCCCATCTATTTTCAATGCCCACAATTCCTGCATGATTTAGAGACAGATCCAATGTGTTGTGTGGAAAGGCTCAATTCTGAATTGTGCCCAGTTCCACTCCTGGGTTAACCACTGGCTATTTGAAAATGGAAAAAGAAAAGCAAATTACTAGAAAAAAAGTTAGCATGTCAGGATTAGCCAGTGTGCTGTTTGGGGTGTTTACTTTCCTGTTGCATCTGTGCTCAGGACTCAGCCTTCACCCCTGGATTCCTGCGGCACCCACTAGCCAACCTCTTTTCTCTGTCTCCCTTCCAGAGAGGCATATTTTTCTAAGCTGTTTTGTACTGATCAAATTTACACTTCTGTAAGCCCCACATAGGAGCCCCCCACACTTCTTGTTAAATCTTTGGGTTTCTTCCCCTCCTTTCCTCTATTTCCTCCCCTTTCCTTCCCTCCCCGCCCTTCTTCCTTTCTCCCTCTCTCCCTCCTCCGCTTTTCTTTCTTAACCTTTGATAATCTTCCAGAACTCATCTTGCAAAAAAAAAAAAAAAAAAAGTATCTCATTGTTTTCAATTGAGTTTATTTGGTTATAAGATTAAAATCCTCTCTTCCCCCAGTTTGCTCATTGGACATTTGTATTTTCTCTTTGTGAATGGCCTTTTGCCAATTTTCCTATTGGAGTGTCTTTTTAAAAATTGTTTATCCATTTGTGTTAATCTCATAGCATTGTGCTTATTTTCCATGAATGACTGAATACATCTCCAGATTCAGATAATTGATATTACAAGTATATGAAACAGTGCGTTTCCTGAAGCTAACAGCTCAGGGAGGCAAGTTAGTGTAACAGTGTGGAAGTCAGCAGGAGCCTGACTGTGGAGAGAGAGCTTGTGGGTGTCAGGGACCCTGGCAGGGACAAGGGAGAGACATTTACAGGTCACTGCATCTTCTTCAGTCCTTAGTTTGCAGGTAAAACCACCATTACTCCTTTTTCCCATTTTCCCCACGTCATGCCGCCTTAAGATCTTTCGAGCCCAGATCCGTAGATTTTTCTACCAGATCACACTGACTCATGCACTTATTTGTGGAAGGTAAATAAAGCCTTAAAATACATCAAATGTTAATAATAAACACTTTTTCTTTTCTAATCTCCTGTAGCGTGAAGGGCCAGGACCGGGCCACTATAATTTGAAAACACCTCCAACAAGTTCTGTTACTTCTTGTTTTCAATCCAGAGTACCCCGGCTTTTGCCTAGTTTTTCAGTAAGTATTCTAAAGAACAGATGCCCCATGCCCCTGAGCCATGGCTTCAGTGTGGGTCTCAGGCTCCTTGGCAATGGGAGTAGGGTGAGATGGAAGGGCTATAGTTACATTTCTGGTAGACACAGTAGCCTGCCGCAGCAATTGGAGTATAACTTGCCAACATCTGGAGGCTCTTGGCTGGCTTCAGACCCAGGCTGACTCTAGGCCTGAAGGTCTGCTGATTTGTGGGTCAGTCAAGAACATTGTGATTGCCAGGGATTTAGCTCAGTGGTTCCAGCGCCTGCCTTACAAGTGCAAGGTCCCGAGTTTGATCCCTGGTACCAAAAAAAAAAAAAAAAAAAAAAAAATTTGATGGCAACCAGCTGCCCATCCTTTGACCTGGATGCTTTCAGGTGACATAGAGCAGCCCCTTCATGGCTGACATGGGCTATGTAAGTCACTGTCTTCAGCCTCCAGAACCAACCATCTAATATGTGTAGCTTCCAGGAGCCCAAGGAAGCAGAAAGCTGAAGCCAAAACAGTAACACTGAACCAAATGGGACCACTAAGGTGTGAGCAACCCCCCCCCGCCCAGGACTGGAAGAAGACAGAAGAAGCCCACAGCTGCAGATGACTGCAAAGGAAATGGATTCTGGGGCACACAGTCTCAAAAGCCCTGAAAAAGACCAGGAAATATCACAAAAACATGATGTGGAGTGTACCAATGGTGGCATTTAAAAATATTTTTCACCACAGCCTGCCTCGCAAGCGTAAGGACCTGAGTTCAATCCCCAGTACCAAAAAATTTATATATATATATTTTTCAGTGCTAAAAAGCCATTTTAGTTGAATAGCCTCATTGCTCCCTCCCTGTACCCTAGTCTGAAAGTCACCAAGACTTGCTGGTGTGGGCTTACTTGAGATGTCCAGGGAGATACAAAGACACTTTCTGCCTGTAAGAAAATGCTTCCCCTGGGAGCTCTAGGGGATAGGAGATAAGTTGGGGCAATGGATCCGAGAGGATTAGGGTTGCCGCTCTCTAGGCCACCTGTCACCTCCCCTCACCTTGCCTAGCCTTTGGAATCTCTGCCCCAGAGCTGCTGGGCTGCAGAGCCGGGGTGCTGCCTTTATTTGGAGGAGTACTCACTGAGAAGACCCAGTCAGTAAAACTGCAGGTAGTCTGACAACAAGAGGCAGGAGGGTCCTCACACCTCCGTGAGGGATCTAGAAACAGTTGTCAGAGCCCACGACACTGAGCATTCTCGGGAAGACCGAGTCATGCTAACCAGACTCCCAGCACACTGAGCAAAACACCAGAAAGTGTAGTGTTAACTCATAAGCATCCACCGGAGGGGTATGGTGTCTGGGCTGCTGTTCAACCTTACAGGAACTTGTCATGAAAGCCAAGAATAAGCAGGCCACTTGGTGACAGTGAAGTCAGGGCTGCAGGACCAAGCTGGATGTCTCAAGGTGGCTGAACCACAATCAGCAGCCTCCTGCGGGGTGGTCTTGCTGCTGCAGGCACCCTGAGACTCCTTTTCTGTGGTCTGACCTCCCAGGACTCTGCATACCAGCTACATCCTCATTAATAAAGGCCTCACTAATATAGGTCTCTGCTCCCTTTGACGTGCAGCCAGGACTTGATTAGATTTCCCAGCTGCCCCTCCGCTTTTGGTGAAGGAAACAGCCTGTCACTTAAGCAACTTCCATAGGCAGCTGTCTATCCATACGGGCCGCCTGCTCTGTGCCTCTCTCAGAATCATGGTTTCCACTTGCCCTGTCTCTGAAAGGGAGGAAGTGACAGACACCCGCCTGTCACAATGAGTAATGGTGGTGGTGGGAGCGAACCTGTGCAGGGCCAGTTGCCAGACTGGCAAAGCGTGTCTGTTTCAGAGAGGCCCCTGTGAGCCCCGTAGCCTCCCACCAGGCAAGTACTCTGCCCTCACTGGCGGCCCAGAATCACAGTCCACTAGTGGTAGGACCAGGACTGAAACTCAGACTTGACTCTGAAAACTTTCGTCCTTCTCGATGGGTTTTTTTTTTTTGGGGGGGGGTGCCAGGGATCAAATTCGGGACCTTGCGCTTTCGAGGCAGGCGATGGAACCACTGAGCTAAATCCCTGCCCCAGTGGTTTGTTTTTTGGAACAAAGTTTTGCTATGAGCTCAGGCTGGCCTCAAACTTGTGGTGATGATCCTTCTGCCTCAGCCTCGAGTGCTGGGGTTGGAGGTGCATGCCACCACACCAGGCCTTGAACACTCACTCACTTGTTAGTGAGCACCTTCTGTAAATCCCAAGCAAAATACAGGGTGGATACTGTGCCCCGAGGTCAGAGCCCAGCCAGGGGCTCGGGATACCCAGGAAGCTGGCAGTACTCAAGTTCCCCCCACCCCAGCCTTCCAAGCGCTCTGATTACAGGCGTGCACCCCTATGCCCAGCTTCACACCCTTGTCCTTGACTGCAACACTGGTGTCTCTTTGGCTGGCCCAAGAGAAAACTCCCTTTGTGTTTCAAGATCATGGGTGCACAGCTCCAGTGCTTATCTGAGAAACGGAAGCCTTCCTCTGTGGAAAGGGCATTCATTTGTACTTATCACTACAGAAGAGAAACTTTGTCTAAATTATTGACAACATGTTTGGTACAAGAACTTCATCAAAATCAAAACATGATGGCTTAAGAATGAGAACTTGTGCACCCCTTGAGAATACTTCTGACCCTAGGTCCACAGACTCTGGCTGAGGAGCACTGTGCCTTATCACAGGGGGTTAGTGACAGTTTAGGAGCAGTGTGCCCGCCCTCACCCCACAGTACTAGGAACTGATCCCAGAGCCCGAGTACCCCAAGGCAAGTGTTCTACCCCTCTGAGCAACACCCCAGGCCCTTTTATTTTTAAATATTTGTTTTTGCAGGCCTAGTGATTGAACCCAGGGCTTTGGCACTGAACCATATCCCCAGGCCATTTCATTTTTATTAAGATGTGGTCTTGGTGAGTGGTTCAAGGCTAGCCTGGCACTCTTCCGGCACTCTTGAGCCTTCTGCCTCAGCCTGCCAAGCAGCTGGGATTACAGGTGTGGCTTACCTCTCTCAGCCAGCTTGGGCTTTGAGTTAGACCAAGTTCAGAATCCAGTCTCTCCAGCCATTTGCTGCTGGACAAGGTCATTGGAGGGGAGGCAGATGCCATTCCTGGGGACAGACACTGCCTAGGCAGAGCACCTACCCGGAGACAGTGTCCCTTGAGGTGCTGGTGGAGTGTGACCCCGCTTCCCCAGGCAGGTGCCAGGTCGGCCCTGGCTTGTCCTGTCCTTATCTCAGCATCTTTCTAGCCTCACAGTGACGCCAGCTGGAGCCGATTCAGCTCCTGGATGCCCTCCAATTTGGGGCGCCCCAGCCTGGTGTGGCCCTTGACTCCCTCCAGGGGGATTCATCCATCAGCCACATCACAGCCAGCAGCCAGATGCAGGGGGTTCCAAGTTCTGTGTCACTGTCTCATCAGTCCCTATTTTCTCTTCTGTTTTCAGAAAACCCCAGGCCCAGGAGCGTATGTGTCTGCCAGACAGTTCCCAAAGCAGTCCCCAGCCATAGCCAGAATGGGCCGAGAGCACAGCCTCTTCTTCAACAACACAATTGGCTTTTAAAATAAAGCAGTCATGACACCAAGCTACTTGGAGTTATAGCAAGTTGTTAGGGTTACCAGACTGTACTTCGACTGTTCATTATAAGGATTTGACCATTGCAGAGCTGGGTCCCTTGGGCTCAATTGCCTTAGTGTTGAGAGAACTCCTGGTCCCCTTGAAGTCTTCCTTGGGTCCTTGGCATTATACCAAGGCCACATGGAGCCTAACAGTGTCCCAAAGGTGGCACTTTTCTTTTTTCAACTCCCTGAAAAGAACAGCATTGATTCAACCAATGAGTACAGTCATGTGCTAAATGGTAACGTTCTGGTCAGTGACAGACCACATATAAACAGCAGTCCCTGAAGAATAAAATGGACCAGAAACATTCTTACTGCCTAGTAACCTGGTAGCCCAAGGTATTTACTCAAGGATGAGTGATGAGGCTGGGTGGACCAACTCTCTGGACTGCCAGTGTTGTAGCCTTGTGGCACATACAGTTGTGTATAGGGCACGTTTGATCATGACTATTAGTGATTGGTACCTAGATTTACTGTACTATACTGTTTTTTCTTTTGGCACTGGGGACCAAACCAAGGATCTCCTGCATGCTACTCCTTCTACTTACAACACCCTCATTTGCTGTAAAACCGTATACTGTGTTATTCTGGCGACAGCCACCTGTGTCTCACGTTCACCTCTTCCCTCCATCACACCATTTTATTTTGTGATTGATTTAATTCTGCATTGCTTTGTCCGCCATGGCTGGAGGGACAACCAGCTACACCACATATATATCTGCCACAGGAGCCTCAGCGTGTAGCAGATGTTACTATCTGATAGATGTTACTGTCTGGCTTTGTGTTCACTCAAACAGCAAAATCAACCAACGGCTTATTCTCAGAACGTGTGTGACTGTCATTCTGATTTCAAGTCAGGGAAAATGTGCAAGGTGCTGTGCTGGCTTGGGAAGTGGAGCTGGAGCTGGAAACAGATGAACAGAGTTTGGGGAGGGGTCAAGGCCTGAAAGGAGAGCTCAAGAAGCCGAGAAGTCTGTCCCAAAGAGCCTCTGCAGGTCCCAGAGCTCGGGGACTGCTCTCACATAGGTGAGGGCTCCAACGGGAAGATGCTCACTAGTCTCAGGAAGCTGCTGGGTCATTGTAGCCAGTACACAGCGAGTGTGCTGATCCTGGGTGCACCAGCACCAGGGTAGCATGGCTGTCGTCTATCAAAGGGACCAGGAGGCTGAGACCAGCAAAGACGAAGGGAGAGGGCTAGGGCAACGACTGCCATCTGGACAAAAGCCAAAGGAAGAATGAACATCTGTGGGTGGGAGCAGAAGGGCCTGGTCCAGCCTACATTGAGAGTGCAAGCCAGGGTGTGGGAGCCTGACTGACTGGAAGCCTGGCAACCAGGAGGAGCTCTGCTCTGGGAGAGCCAGGGTATGCAGAGGGTCAGGGGCTGGGAGGTGGAGCAGGTTCAGTCATTCATAAGTAACGAAGGAAATTTTAAACAATTAAATGTTTATATTATATTTAAAAGAGGAAAAACCCATGTCTCTTCCTTAGACTTACCAGCCCTTATAAAATGGGCACTAGGGTAGGGCAGGGAGAGCTCCCATTCCCCTAAGTCACCCACTTTTGCAGGGGACTGTCGGAGACCAGAGGAGAATTGAGGCCTAATTGGCCTCCTCCGTGAGCACAAAGGAGAAAGGCTGCACTCAGGGGTGATTGCACATTGCAGACCCTAGGGAACAGTCAAGACAGCTGAGGTTAAGTTGTGTACCTGAGCATGTGCTAATGGCTAGCAGGAAGCAGATGAATCTTGTGTTACTCTGATTGCTTGTACCCGAGTTTGGGTCAATAAAGGCAAGATGAACTGGACACTAAGGGCTCCTATGCGAGGGCCTCCTGGCTGCCTGCCTGTTAAACACTCCGTGTCTCTGTCATTCATCCTTTTTTGCCCCTGGGTTAGGGAGAGCAAAGTAGTGGGTCTAGGTCCCGGAACAAGGCTGGCCAGGTGGGTTGGCTACAGGTGGCCCCCAACATAGGGGTTGGGATCCAGGCTCAGCTACAGGGGACAGCCACGTGCAGCACCCCGTCCTCCTGCCCCAGGATATATCTCGGCCCACTTTGATCTGAACAGGCTTGGGCACGTGGTTTCAAGTTTATCCTCCAAGGGGGTCAAAGTTCTCACACAGTTGGAGAGTCGGGCCTGGAGGTTCTGATGGAAGAGTTTCCTCTGGGATTCGGGTCTGGTGATACCTAATACTGGGGACACAGTCTAGAATGGGAGCGGTGGTCATGCGTGTGTCCATCCAGGGTGGGAGATGGGAAGTTAGAGCAACTGCTCAGACTAGCAAGGGGAAGGAGAGTTCTGAGGAAAGTACAGCATTTGGGGAACCTTACTGACAGTGAAATGGGGGCTGGAAGGGCCCAGCCCCGCCCCACCCCACCCCACCCGCTTTTCTTCTGGCCCTGGAGCCCTACTTTCAGTGCCTGTTTCCTTCCCCAGGGGAGATGTAGCTGCAGGCCCCACTGGCAATGAGGGTGTGACTGGGGTGGGGGACAGCTCCCCAGTGTCAGAGGAGAGAATGGAGGCCCATTCACCATAAGAAGGGGACAGAAGCAGCCTGCAGGAACACAGACCTCCTGGGGTGGAGCCCCTGGGGACATCCTGTGGGGCCACCTAGCAGGCCTGGTTGTGCCTGCCTGGGGCCCTTCACTAAGTTTCACCTCTGGCTCCTGACTGGCCTGGGTTTCCTTTCGGGAGCTGGGGCACCTGGGCTCACACCTGTCTTCCTCAGTCTGTCCTTACCCTGTTTTGTTATTCGGGATGAGGTGACAGGGACTTCAGTGCCAGGGTTAGCAGAGGGCCTCGAGAGAGCTGGTGGTGAACACTATTTCACTTTGCTTTTTGGTGGTTTCGTCGAACTGAATTTCGTTCAGCTTGGGGGAAGCTTTACCAGAGACCCCAGAGGGACTCTGAAATGGCCTTTCCCCTCCATGAGCCCAGCCCTGGGACAGTAACTCCATGATGGAGGAAGAGAACTGGTGAGGCCCGAGAACTCAGCTTGAGTTCTAAGACAGACATAGACACATAGCAGCTAGAACTACTATATGCCTCCAGTGACACATCCGAGAGGACTTGGAACGGACAGCTTGGCAGAGAAGAAGGGACTATAGGCGTGTCCCATCTAAGTCCCTGAGAGACTTCCCTTGGGGTCTCAGATAACCAGCTCGGCTCCCTTCCCCCATGAGCTGCAGTGACACTGGCTTCTTAGGGCCCTGCCCTAGATCCCCCAAGCAACCACGCCCCCCCCCCCCCAAGCTGCTTTCTGAATTTGGCTCCAACCATAGGGAATGTCTGTTCTTGCCTACAGATATTTTGTGCTGTTCCCATGTGAAATTTCATTAAGTCAGAGCATGTCAAAAATCACAGAACTGGTGGGGACAGCTTGTCCTCCTCCTCCCTTCCTCCTCACTGCCATCTAGGCCTATGAATGACTCTTGAGTGTCAGGCACAGGCACAGGCTTTGGGACTGAAGGCCACAGCTTGCTTAGGTGACTGGCCCTGTCTCCAGCCTCGTCTTTTAGCTTGCGGTCATCTACCAGGGCAGAGCTACCTGGTCTCAGGCTCATAGACTTAGAATTACTTTAGAAGCCCTATTTTAAAAAGACTGTTCAAAACTTACAACTTCAGAATCAGTGGTTCCTTTGTCTTGTTTTTTGTTGTTTTGTATTTTTGGTACCAGGGATCAAACTAGGGACCTTGCACTTTCGAGGCAGGGGGCAGAACCACTGAGCTAAATCCCCGGCCCTTTGTCTTTATTGTGATAAAACACAAATACAATTTACCAACTCAATCATTTTCAAGTTTACATTTCAGTGGTGCTAAATACATTCATAATGTGCTACTCCCAGCACCGTCTTATCTCCAAAACTCTTTCCATCTTGTAAAACTGAAAACTGTGCTGTCAAACAGTACACTCCCATGCAGCCTCTGGCAACCATCATTCTACTTCTTGTCTTTCCCTGTCTCTAAGTACCTAAGGTAAGTGGAATCTTAAGTAACTGTCTTTTAGACACTGGCTTATTGCACTTAGCACGTCCTCAAGGTCCATCCAAGTCATCATCAGATTGGTAGAATTTCTTCCTTTAAAGGCTAACGTTCTACTCTAATCGTTGTACGATTTGCTGACCTCTTCATCTGTCGATGGACACTTGCTTCGATGTTTTAGCTATTATGAATACTGCTGCTGTGAATATGTATTTCTCTTTAGGACCCAACTCCCAACTCCCAACTCCTTTGGGTATAAACCCAGTAGCGTTCCAGGACCACTAGCTAGTGCTACATTTAGTTTTTTTTAAGGAATTACTGTGCTGTTTTCCACAGTAGCTACAACATTTTACATTCCTAGTCTTGGGATACAAGGGTTCCAATGGTCCCACACCCTCACCAACATAGTTTCTATTTTTTTGGTAGTAGCCATCCTAGGGAGAGGTGGTGCCTCCTATGTTTGATTTGCATTCCTCTGATGTTGACTGATGCCAAGTGTCTTCATTGTGTGTCTTCCACAGAGGGTGTCTGTGCATGTCCTTTACCCACTCTTTAATTAGGCTGTATGCTTCATGTTGAGTTTTAGGGATTCAGGGTATATTCTGGATATATCTCATCAGATATGTATGTGGTCTGCAAATATTTTCTCCCATTTTGTGGGGTGCCTTTAGCTGAATAAAATTTTACAATTTTATTTTGGGCATGAAGCCCAATTTCTCTATTTTTTTCCTTGTCTGTGCTGTAGCTGTCACACAAGGAATCATTGCCAAATCAAATTTTCTGAAGCCTGAGGCCTGTGTTTTAAGTCTTAGACCCATTTTGATTTAGGTTTTGTACTAGGCAGCGTTAGGTAAGACTAACTTCATTCATTTGCATGTGGGTGTCTCCTGTTCCCAGCACTAATCACTTCAGTCTTTTGGCTAAGATCAAGTGCTGTTTTCTCTGCACTAGCTGTGAAAAACAAAAACTGTCCTTTCCCCATTGAATGGTCTCAGCACCCCATAGTCAAGTACCACTGACCATACCTGTGAGGGTTTCTGGCTTGTCTATTCTTTTTCCCTTGGTCTAGATCTCGATCTTTGTGCAAGTACCATGCTATTTAGATTACTGCAGCTTAGTAGGAAGTGTGAGTCCTCCAGTTTTCTTCATTTCTAGGATTGCTTGGGCTTGAATCAGGTTCTTAACTGAAGCAGTATATTAGAATTTTTTCCCCCTGTAAGTTTGTTGGTACGTTTTAGGTATACAGTATGATCATTCATCATTGGGAATTTGTACTTGTACATGATATATCTTTTTTTGTGTATCAGGGATTGAACTCAGGACCTTGTGTGTGCAAGGCAGGCGGCAGCACCACTGAGCTAAATCCCCAGCTCTGTACGTGATATATCTTGGTTCTTGTTTTTTCCCCATTTCCCTTCCCTTCCTTCCACCCCTCCCTATTTACAAAAGCTGTTTCCATTTTTTTCTTCTCTCATTTTTTCTTTCCCTACTTTCCTTTCCCCCACCCTCCTCCCTAAAATTTCGTCTTCTCAGCGTCTTGATGAAGATCCTAATGGCGAAGAAATTATTTCTAAAGAATCTTCACTGATAAAGTAGTGTAGGAGGCAGCTTATAAGCTGAGCTTGAACCTGACCAATGGGTGAAGATCAAAAAATAAAGCTACATAAAAACAAGTTAAAAATCAGGATGTGGAGGGGCCCTCATGTCTCTCTTTGACTTCGAGCCCCAAGTGACTGGCGCACCTTGGCTTTATTCAGTCAGACACAGGCAAGAGCAATTAGAGCTCCACAAGATTCATCTGTCTCCCACCCGCCATGGTACTTCTTCAGGTAAACAACTTCACCTCAGGTGTTTTTACTTTTCCCTGCAGCGTGTTAGCATGCTTGCATGCCCCTCTCCAGTGCTCACCTAGGAGGCCAATTAGGCCTCATTCTTCCCTTCTAATCTCCAGGGTAGGACAAAGGTTCTGTAAGCTGGAGGTGGGAGGCAGGTGGGGAGGGCTTTGGGAAGGTGTGGGAACCGAGTCTTTTAGGGCAAGGAGTAAGCCCTAGCAGGAGTTCTGGAAAGAGATCTTGTAGGGTATGGGTGGACATGGGAAGCCACAGAAGACCTGATGACCTCAAAGCAGAAGGAAATAGAAAAAGGAGGAAGGAGAGGGCAGGACCGGAAGGGTGCAGTGCTCAGCTCAGACAGAAGCTGCTTGGTGGAGAAGGGGAAAAGGGTAGGTTGTACCCAGCATAGCACAGCCCCCGGGGCTTCTGTGGCCCACCTGGGTGGGTGCTCTCACGGGTGGGATATGTGTGCCCAGCAGCCCTAGGCCTCCTTAGGGATGGATTAGTGTGTAGTCAACCACTGGGCAGGACTTCTTTGCCTCAGGTCCCTCCTGCCCCAGGCACCACCCATGGGGAACCAGCCTACTACTCCAAACTTTCCCCACCAAGACACCACTTGTAGGGGACCTAGACCCCTTTGTTCTCCTTGACCCAGAGGTGAATGAGGATGAATGGCAAAGAGACACGGAGTCAGTTTAACATGCCTGCTGTTGGGTACACTTGCCTCTAGTAGGCAGAGCCTCTGGCTCGTTTTACCTTTATTGACCCAAACTCGGGTACAAGCAATCAGAGTAACACAAGATTCATCTGCTTCCCGATAGCCATTAGCACATGCTCAGGTACACAACTTAACCTCAGCTGTCTTGACTGTTCCCTAGGATCTGCAATGTGCAATCACCCCTGAGTGCAGCCTTTCTCCTTTGTGCTCACGGAGGAGGCCAATTAGGCCTCAATTCTCCTCTGGTCTCCCACATTAGTGAAATGTGAACTCCTAAGATGACACCAGGCCTGACACAAGCAGGAGAGAGGGGGCTTGCAGTTGCCTCTGGACCCACATGGGGGCCACAGATCATAGTCAGCGGACGGAGACTGCAGTGGGACCCTGTGGGGGCCTTCGGTGCTTCTGACCTTCCTGTGGGGAAGGGGCCCACCCCAGGCATCAGTGCTGCTTCTCTTGGGTGTGGGTCCCATGCCAGCCCAATTCCTGTTGCATGTCTTGGAGGGGAAAGGGTGGGGCTCTGGAGTCCCTGCCTGCAGGCTGGTTGGTCTCAGGGCCCCAGTGACGGTGACGGTGACGGTGCAAATGGGGCAGTGGCTTCTCTGGTGTGTGGCTGCTGCCAGAAACAGACACATTCCGGGGCCCACGGCAGGTGGAAATCCTGATTGGCCAGTCAGGCTGCAGAGCTGGAGAGCCTTCAGGACAGAATGGAGCCCTCGAGTCCCGGCATCTCGCCGCTTTTGAAAGCAGGCAGCCATTTTTCTGGATTCCAGAGCTCTGCCTTGCGGAGATTCACCTATTTGTTTTGCTCCAAGCAACTGTTTCCATTGCTTTCTGTGCCCATGGCTTCTGCTGCTTTTTAGCCTCTACTCCCACTCCAGCTGCTTCTCTTTTCGTCTGTCTCACAGTTGCACCGCTAAACCCAGACTCTCTGCACCCTTAGGCGATGTGGGTGCCGTGGAAGGCAGAGAGAAGGAGGAGGAGGAGGAACCATCCAGATTAAAGGAGATTAAAGAGACACGACAACTAAATGAACCATGGGATCTTGGCTGCAGGAAAACAGTGCTATAAAAGACATTAACGACAAAGTTAGAAGGAGGATGGATGGAAGATTTTGCCAAGAGCATCGTTTCAGAGTTAAATTCCTTATCTGTTAACTGTGCGATGGTTGGTTAAGAGAGAAACCTCTGTCCTTAGTGAAAACATACTGAAGCATTAAGGGGTAAAAGGGCCTGCTTTACACACATTCTCAAATGGTTCAGAAACAAATAATGTGTGCTTTTAAAGAAATCCACAGGGTGACTCTTTCCTGCCACTTCTAAAGAGAGAGTTAAGGAAAGAGTGAGAGAAAAGTTAAGAAGAGGTCAATCCCCCCCTGTAGTGGCATCCTGTGAGGGGGTACCCAGGCCATCTCTTAGGCTGTGGGCCATACAGCGTGGACACACTGTGGTTCTGGGATCCATCATGGCACTGTCAGCTGGATCAGGGAACTGGAGTCCCACAGCCTAGCGCACAGCTCCACTGTGCCCCTGTTCAGGGTTTGGGCTGCCCAGCATCTCCTGGACACCATGGCTGTTTGGAGGGCTCTCAGCCCCTCCAGAGACATCCGGTTATGGAACCTCCACACGAGCTGCAGAAGGGCTGGGTGGGGGCAACTCAGAGCCCAATCCTCTCCCCTTCACTCCAGCCATAGCAGAGGGGAGGGCCCTGGACCCATGTGTCCTCCCTCAGAATGCTCTCACAGAGGACTCTGGGTCATCTAAGTGCCAACAGGTCCCACCATGTCCTTCTGCTGTGGGGAGCAGCCCCAGCTTTTGCCTCTGACCCCAGAGCTGGCACTGTGCTCTTTAGAGTGTGGCAGTGGACACAGCACATGCCAAATTAACAGTGAGTGGAGGCACCATGATCTCATCATCTTCCTTGGGCATAAAACCCACTTCCCAAGACTATGGACTACCAAAGAAATGATCAGCATAGTTCATTGTGAGCCAAGCACAGCATTGGGCAGGGAAGAGCATCAGTTTGGTCACTGTCATCTTCATTGTAAGAGAAAAGACAGGACAGGAGCCCCCATGGATGCTACCTAAGGTGGGGAGGGAGGAAGGGTGCTTGAGGGGTGTGCACAGAAGGAAGGGTGGGCTGGTGCCTGCCCAGAACTCCAGCTGTGTAAGCAGCCATACTCTGTGTTCTGATTCTGGGACTGAATCGGGGCAACCCTCTCCAAGGGAAGTCATCTACAGCTGCCTAATGACTGTGGCAAAAATGAGTAGGACCTGTGGATCCTTTTACTCAAGAATGAGCCACTCAGGGCTGGGTGTGGTGGTACATACCTATAATCCCAGCTACTTGGGTGGCTGAGGTAGGAGGATGGCAATTTAAGGCCAGCCTGGGCAACTTACTGAGAACCTGTCTCATGATAAATAAATCAAAGGGTGGGGCATGTAGCTCAGTGGTAGAGCACTTGCTTATCATGTGTGAGGGCCTGGTTTCCATCCCTCCAGTATCACAAAGAAAAAAAAATCAGTTGCTCAGAGGGGAATGGCTACAGTGCTGCAGGTCTTAGGTCAGAGGGCAGGGCTGGAAGGCCAGGATGGCACTGACCAGAGTCCTGGGGCAGCAACATCTCAGAGTGAGCAAAGCCAACCAGCAAGGAGAACAGCATGGAGCAGGCCAAAGCAGAGAAAGAAACTGCTCACAGTGCTGAGCTTTTACAACAGGCCAGGCACTGCTCTAGGATTCTGGCATGTTTTTCTCACATAAAAATTGTAATCCACAAAGCAGACACCATTCTATTGTTATTCTTTTATAGATGAGAAACAGGCAAAGAGAGGTTAAGCAACTTGCTCCAACCCACACAGCTGGTTGGGCCAGGGATTTAGCTCAGTGGTTCTGCTGCCTGCTCGGCAAGCACGAGGACCCAAGTTTGATCCCCGGTACCAAAAAAAAAAAAAAAAAACAAAAAACCCTCAAAAAACAAACCACACAGCCAGTCTGGTGGAGCTCTGAGTTCCTGTCCCAGCTCTCTGGGGAGTTCCTTGATTTACTTTCAGTGAGTCTGTTCTTTGCAACTGAAGGCAGCTGATTAAAATTTGAAGGGATCCCTGGCAGGGGACAGGCAGGAACCTCCCTGGACTCCCAGTACTGTGGGGCTGGTCTCTCAGGTTGCTCATGTGTGAGGCCGCCTTGGCTGTGGCTGTCATCAGGAGTTGGCAGCACGCGCTGGGCAAGCAGGGAGGCTGGCTTAGCTGGAAGCTTCCCAGGGCCAAGGAATACCTGCAATGATGACAATTGGGTGGGGGAGGGGGACAGCACAACAGTGAGCACTTTGGCACCAGAAAGGAGTCTGGGTGGTGGCGGCTGAAATTCCGTTCCTATTTGTGCCTGCAGATAAACACTACTGCTGCCCACGTGCACAGCGTGGGCTGTGTCCTGGAAAGTGGTGTATAGGCGGGAGGTCCACGGGGGTGACAGGGCAGCCCTTGCTCCAGCACCTGAGTCCTACTTGGAGCTGGCCCCCTTGCTTTCTGACAGCTCTTTATGTGTGAGGGCTGGGTCTACAGATGGAAATGGGGCCCCGAAATGCCTGGGCTCAGTGGGTCTCTGCTGCTTGCCTTTCCGACATCCGACCCATTCAGGGTCAGCTTGCCAAACCCCTTTGCCCATCAGGAAGAGGAAGGCTGAGTTTCCACATTCAGCAGGAGCCTCAGAGTGGCTATCTTCAAAGTGTGGTGGTTGCAGCAGCAAGTGATCTTTTGGGGCTCATGAAGAATGGAGCTTGTGTGTACACCGCTCGCTACAAATGTTTGATGTGTGCTCATAGTGGACAGCATATTGGGATGAGGTGGGATTTCTCTGTGCAGATGAGCTATTATGAGCTTCTCATCTGCACCCCCCAAAAGTGCTTCTCTGGGGCTGGAGGTGCTCCACTGGCAATGCCCGAGGGCCAGTCTCCTGTGTGGACAGCGAGTCCTGCCCTGGCCTCTTTCAGCTGTGCCCTAGAGGTGGCAGGGGACTGAGGCCAACCTAAGGGTACGTCAAAGGCCAGAGCCAGTCCTGCTCAGACCCCTCTGCTGCCTCTTGTCTCCAAGGCCTCAGCCCAGCCTCCCCTCTCCCCAAGCCTCTCCTTCCACTGGGCAATGCCCTCCGGCTGAAATCCAGAGTTCAGAGAGCCTCTTCCTCCTCCTCCACACCGCCCTGGGCTCTGGAGCCCCAACCCTCTCAGCCTCTCCAAGGCTGGCTCAAGGTGGGATGAATAAACATGCTGCTGCAGAGTCCTGAGTCCTGTTTCCCCTTCCAGGGTCTCTTTATTCAGTCTGAAGATCATGGTCAGCAACTGGCCCAGCCCTCTGTGGCTCCAAAGAGGGAATGGGAAAAGCTGGAACACATTTGGTGCCTTCCTGCTACCAAGAACTGATTCCCAACAGTTCTGGGCACCCCAAGGTATATCAACAGCATTTGCATATTCTTTTTTTCCTAAGAGAATTTCAAAAAAAATAGATCTCTATCAAATATATATCTCTCTCTCTCTCTATATATATTTATATCTATATTTATATATCCACATACACTGACAAGAGATCCTTCACCCAAGAAGCAAAGGACTGAGAATCCTTGTGCTGCTCCTTGGCCAGCTCTTGGTGGAGAAACCGTGTGACCTGCAGGGCCAGTGCAGCCTGAGGCGGGCTTCCCGTGGGCCTCTCCCTCCGAGGAAGCTGGCCTTCTCCCACCTTAAAGTGAGATCTGTACCCCTGGACCAAGCACAGGTCAGAGGGGAACTTCCTGCCAGGCCCTGAGGACTGACTTCCTGGGTCAGAGTTCCAAGTGTGACATTTGTGGACCCCAAGCATGGAGAGGGAGCTGGGTTGGTGGTTTCCAGTCACAGCTCATGGGAGCCCCAAATGGCCAGCACTGGGCATAGGTCATCCAAAAATCCCAAGATTTTGGGTGTGGGTGATGCTTTGGGGTAGAACTGTGGACTGCCCCTTCCACGTTATTAGCTCCAGAGGGACCTGCCTTTAGGAAAAGACTAGAAGGAAAGAAATGACACAAGGAGTTAGAAACAGCTGCATCCAGAGCTGTTTCTCTATCGTGAGCCCTGATTAGGGGCCACCAGCCTAGGGCCTATGAAGACCAGTGGTGCTGGGGTCCTCTGCAGGTAGATCAGGTAGGTGGAAATGGAAGAGTGCTAAGGCCAGTGTTTCGAGCCCCTGGCTAGACATCAGAGGCCCAAAGGCACTTGGTGGCAGACTGGAAGAGCACACAGGGCCCCAATGGCCTCCAGACAAAGGGGCAATGGTGAACATCACTGGAGTCTGACAAGAACCTGGAGACCCCATTGTCTTTGGAGAGCCAGCAATCTCAGGCTGTGAGGGCCCTGGGCAAGGCCTAGGGGTGATCTGGGAAGCAAGACTTGGGAATGGGGTCCCAAGAGCCCAAGGCAGGGTGCTGGGGGAGCCCAGCTGCCCCCCACCCCCAGCACACACCCAGTCACAAATGCAAAGTCACTGAGGGTCCATGCTAGTTTGTCTCCTAAGGTCCTGGGAAGGAAGGAGGGAAAAGCTTGACCAGGTCAAGGGCAGCCTGTGGGATTCATCTCTTGTGGGGCAGAGGCTCTGGACTAGAACCTGGCCAAAGCCAGGAAATCCAGGTATCAGGGATGTTGAGGGCAGGGCTTGGGGCCAAGTACCCGAGACACACAGACCCTCAGTGCACCTTTAGCTTCCCATCACCCTTGCCCACAAACACCAGTGTCTAAGTCCCAGGGAGCAAGGGATTTGCTTTGGATGCAAATCTTGTCCACACAGCTCAAGAGGAGCAGGCGCAGGCACAGGCTGGGAGACCCTGGAGGGAGCGGGGAGAACTAGGGATACAGCTCGCAGAAGTGTTTACTATTGTTGTTTTCCTGAGGCTCACATCTGGATGCCACTGTCCTCATCCTGCTGCTGCAGTGGGCTCAGAGCTCTCTGGGGATGATGGAGAAGGGCAGCACGGGGCTGCTGGCCTCCAACTCCAGGGCGGTGAGGTAACAGTCAACGGCAGCCTCTGTCTGGCCCTGCGCCTGCAGCACCTGGCCAAGGCCCTGCCAGGCCTCGTGGCATGTGCTTTGCCTCTCCACGGCATCCCGCAGCACCTTCTGAGACAGGCTCTTGTGGCCCAGCTGACTCAGCATCAGACCCTGAGGACAAAGGACAGGGCAGGGTTAACATGGGCACCTTGGAACAGGGGTGTCCCAGCAATCAGGGCCAAGAACAAGAGCAGCTCACTTGCCAGCCACCAGCCAGAGAGGCCCCGGTCTGTGTCTTGCTTGGACACTGTCAAGTGACTGTGCCTTTTATTTACACAAAATCTATCTGTCCCTTCCTAAGCCCTGCTTCAACTCCAGCCTCCCAGACTACCGCTAATGGGAACTCTGCTCCTCCTAGCTCAAAGGACATGGTTTGCAAGTCCAGACCTGCCTTTCGGTTGATTCATCTGGGGCACCCTGGGAAAGTCACAACCACCTGACTCTTAGCTTCCTCATCTGCAAATGGTAAAATTGCAGCATCCTCCTCTAAGGCTGCTGTGAAGTTGAAATGAGTCAGTGAATGTAAAGCTCTTGAAGAGGAAGTGGCACTAGTCCTTGCTGCCCGAAGCACACAGGTGCCTTCACCCCAGGGATATCTCGAGACCTGGGTGTCCATTCCAGGGCTGTGACCCTGCATATGGAGGGCAGAGACCCACGCCCAGAGAAGGGGGAGGGGAACTCCTTCGCCTACATCAGGCAGTCTGTCTTTCCAGGGATGGCTGGGTCCTGGGTGCCAAGTGCCCTGCTGAGCTCTGCCTGGCAGGTGAGGGTCACAGGAGAGCGTCAGGTGGGCAGTACACAGGATGGTACGAGGTGCAAAGGCTGGGTAGGCTCAGGCCCCGGGTTCTGGCCTGGGAGCAGGCAAGAAGTGTGGCCCTGCAGTTTGGCTCAAACAACTGTTGCCACAGAGCTGGAGGAAGTGACAGGAATTGTCACAAAAAGGGGCTGGGATGTGAAACTGGCACCCAGTGCTCTGTAAATCCTCTTCCACCCACACCAGGAAGGGAGCAGGGACACAGGCTGGGGAGCAGAGGGAGGGTCCTGGAAAGGAAAGGCTGCTTCACACAACCCATCAATCTCTGTCCCAGCCCTTGGGGAGAGGGCGCTGGCTCTGTTTTCCCTCATTTCAACATCAAAGGTAAAGCCCCAACACCAACTTTCTGGGTGGGTGGGGGGGCTGGGGAGCTTCCTTCTCCATGCCTGGAGATTCCTCTCCAGTGTCCGCCCACTGACGGCTGTGTACATTTTTAGCTGGATCATTTTCCTCCTCCTTGAGCTCCCCAGAGTGAGGCCTTGCGTTGCTATGGAGACATACTGGGAAAGATGCACATGTCTGATTTCACAAAGTCCTTGCAGAGCTTGGAATGCAACCAATTAAGCAAGAGAGAAAGATGGCATTCAGGAAGCCTAGGAAAAGCCATAGATGCTGGCTCCAAGCCCCATGGCTGGGGGTAGGAAGAGGAAATGTACTCATGGAGCCCTCACTCAACCTGCACAGTGGGAACCAAGGATCTCTAGTGGCTAAAGCTGCAGAGCAGGGGACAGGCAGGGGAGCAGAGGGCAGGGTGGCACTCTGAGCAGCCCTAGCTCTGGCCAGAGACGCATGGTGCTGACTCAGGGCTGCCTGGGGCGGGGGCAGTGTCCGTCTGGCCAGCAGGGCCCCAGGCCAAGCTGCTCTGCCCACACGGCCTGTGTGCCAGACCCTGAGCAGCTCACAGTGGAACAGGACTCACGAGGAGGGAAGGAGAGTGAGTCGACAGCCACCAGACACCCAAATTAAGCACCAAAAATGGAAGGCTGGATGCCTGTGAGTCTGCCCAAGGGGAGCAACAGAGGGGACAGTGGCTTTTGCCCTCCAAGTACTCTTTACAGAGCTTCCTTCCATGTGAGATTTTGTTGGAATAAAGGACACTGCTGCTGAGACCGGGAGTTTGACAAGCCTTGCTCTTAGCAGGGCTGACAGGGTTGTATACACGTGTGTGTGCGTGTGTCTGGGTAGGTTCCTCTGTGTGCCTGGGCAGAGCTGAAAGCCAGGGCTGAGGAGCCACAGGTCTGGCAGGGTTGGATCCCAGTTCCCATTGACAAGTACTGCGACCATGGCAAGTGGCCACCCCTTCCACTGAGGTTTCCTTATCTATAACCAGGGGATGGAACTGCCTGGGCTTGCAGGGCTGTGGCGAGGATTCTGCAGCCAGGGCACACAGTGGGCAAATGGCAAATGGCAGCATCTCCAAGATGTGCAGAGGAGGGAGGGCACAGCTCTGGGGGAAGGGGGACTGTGGGCTACACCCCGCGGCACTGACCTGGGAGCCTGAAAGGAGACACCAGCCAGGCTGGGGTCAGGCTGGGGCCCAGAGGGCCAGGGCTTGTAACAGGATCTGCTGCCACCTGCCCCCAACACCATCCTTGTTTGTGTTTGGTAGCAACTGAGCTGTTTGGTGCCTGACAACTGGGCAGGACCCAGTCCCAGCAAGATGTAAGCCTCACCTGCTCTGCCCCCAGCCCAGTGCTGCAGCAATGCCACCACTCCCGCCTGGCAGCCTATCCCCCAAGAACAGGTCTCGAGAGAGATGGTGGGGACACAGTTCCATCTACACGTCCCTGCTGAATCTTCCTGTCCCTCACCTGCTGAGTGAGGAGACCAGGCCCACTGAGACTCTCTGCTTCTGATCCTCAGGGGTTAGTGTTTATGGCAAGTAGCCATGGAGCCTACAAGGGACACCTGGCTGGTCTTGGGTAGGGGCAGGGCTGTTGGAGAAGACCCCAGAAGTTCCCATCACCACCCACTTCTCTCCTTGCTGGCTCTCAGGGAGTCATCTGGCTCTCACATGTCACCTGCAAGGTGCCTTCCCTGGAAACTCCCTTTGAGGACAGTGGTCCTGGCCCGTACAACCCCCTTGAGGTTGTCCTTGGTTACTGTGGGGGCTCTAGTATGCCATCCTGTCCTGCCCCCTCCTCGGGGTGCAACGGACAGGGCCTGTGTCTCCTTCCTGGTTTTCTTTTCTCCACAGGAGAGCAGCTCAGCAGGACCAGGATGGGAGGGTCCAGGATGCACAACTGGGGACACCAGAGGTGCTTGTGTGCTTCCTGACCTGGACTGCTGGCCAAGGATGCTGCCCCACGTTGCTAATCAAGGCTGGCCTCGTAGGACCACCAGTGTGGGCAGTCTGGGATCTAATCTTCCGGTCTGTACGGAGATGCTGAGTGGGGGACTCCCTGTCATGAGCCAGGTTCTCTGTGGGGTAACATCCTAAGATGGGGAGGGAGGGGAAAGAGGGCCTTGCTGTCCTTTTTCAGAGTTGCCATTGAACATTATCCTTCCTCACTGAGTGCCTGATGATGTCCCCCAGAGAGAAGGGATGGCAGGAAGTCCTGGGAGGGGTGCACCTCTTTTGTCTTCTGGGGGGAGCCTGCCCTGGCCAGGCCAGCTGTGGCCAGGCCAAGTGCTCCTCCCATCCCTCCTCAAGTATTTATAGAAGTTATTTTGGGAATTTTCTTTCTGAGCTCAAGGCACATTCCTGGGATTCTATAACAGCCTTTCCAGCTGGGAAGCTGGGAATCAGCTAGTGGCTGCTGGAGCCTTTAGGTCCCTGGAGCCCCGTATGGGGTGGAGCCTGCTCTAGAGCAGGACCACACACTGAGGAGGCCACACGAGGGAAGGCATCTCAGCATCTCCATTCCCCCAGGTGTATCCTCCTCCTCCAGTCCTACCTGGCTGGGCACTCACCCCTCCCACCACACTCCTCAGCAGGGCCACTCCCAGGCCTCAGGCTGGTCTACTTCCCTTCCAGACCCTGCGCCCAGAGGCCCCTGGGCTCTCAAAGAGGCCTTGGCTGAGAAGGCCCCTGACCCCATGGGAGTCCAGCCTAGGTGGGGTCTCCTGGCTTAGCAGGTGGCTGTGTTGCTCTGTGGCCAAACCCACACCTTTCCTTCTTCCTAGGTGCTCGAGAGGTGAGATGTCTGCTGAGGCTGGGGTTGTCTGTCTGGAGAGGGCAGGGATGGGCAAGGGACTGACCGCAGGGTAGGTCACACCCGAGGGGACTCCAGAGCCTATGGACCCATTTTTGTCAGCCCACCTTGAGATAAGGCTGGGCCTTAATCCTCCCCATCCTGGGCTGGTTTTGGGTTCTGGGCTGGCTGGTGGCCCTGTCCACCTGGGAACATGGCTTGCTCAGCGCTAGGACAGGAGGCTGCAGCTGGGCCTCTGCATTCTGGGTTCTAGAAGTGAGGCCTCTGTGTTGGGGAAAAGGGGCCCAGTCTCTGGGCAGGAGGCTGAGGCTAGCAGGGTGGCGATGGCTGTTTGGTGGTCAGCCCATGCTGCACCCTCCAGATGCGGAGAGTCTTTCCCACTCCTTTGTTCACAAAACAGATTCTGGAACTACATTTCTAACTGTGGCTACTCCTTTACAAGTTATCCTTTGTAGAGTTCTTCCTCACCCTTTGCTGGCATTCTAAATTTTAAAGAAAAGCCAAAGCTAGGTGATTAATATATTAACTACTAAGTAATCTTTCTTTAGATTTATAAAACTCAGAACATCTGATGACTCTCATATAACATCAGAGTATGTAAGCCCCCTCCCATATTTTAGTCTTGTGCATCAATCGGCACAAAGCATGTAACTTGCTATGATGTTTCACAAGCAGAAAAGTAATGTGTGTCTAAAGTAGTACACAGGACCCTTGGCTTATGAATTCATTTCATTCGGGAGGGCTGGTTGTACCTCAGGTTGGTCAACTGAAGGCTCAGGCCCCTCTACACACACCCTTCAGTCTTTCTCCTATGTACAGGCAGATCTCAGTGTCCTTAGAGAGACACTGGCCCAGGATTTCTCAATCCCACACAGGAAAGGATGTTGTAATGTTCCTTCCAGAACTCTTTAAGGGTTAAATCTGTATCTGAGACCATCCGGAAGCACAAGCGGCTGGCATTTGGCTCATAACTCAAAAGTTTGTTTGTAAGTTAAAACTAAAATTCCAGTCATAACTTGTTCGTATGTCAGGGCAGTTGTAACTCGAGGGTCCACTGTATAGGAACTAGCCCCAGGAGGTCCTGGATGACTATAATGTTCTGGGCAGGAAAAAAAAAAAAAAAGATACAGACATATGCCCTG